AGTGAGCCCACTCCCTTGGCTGAGAAGCAACCCCACACATGAATGGTCTCAGGATGTTTTACTGTTGGCATGACACAGGACTGATGGTAGCGCTCACCTTGTCTTCTCCGGACAAGGTGTTTTCCGGATGCCCCAAACAATCGGAAAGGGGATTCATCAGAGAAAATGACTTTACCCCAGTCCTCAGCAGTCCAATCCCTGTACCTTTTGCAGAATATCAGTCTGTCCCTGATGTTTTTCCTGGAGAGAAGTGGCTTCCTCGCTGCCCTTCAGAACACCAGGCCATCCTCCAAAAGTCTTTGCCTCACTGTGCGTGCAGATGCACTCACACCTGCCTGCTGACATTCCTGAGCAAGCTCTGCACTGGGGGTGCCCCGATCCCACAGCTGAATCAACTTTAGAAGATGGTCCTGGCGCTTGCTGGACTTTCTTGGGCACCCTGAAGCCTTCTACACAACAATTCAACCTCTCTCCTTGATGTTCTTGATGGTCCGATAAATGGTTGATTTAGGTGCAATCTTACTAGCAGCAATATCCTTGCCTGTGAAGCCCTTTTTGCGCAAAGCAATGATGACGGCACGTGTTTCCTTGCAGGTAACCATGGTTAACAGAGGAAGAACAATGATTTCAAGCACCACCCTCCTTTTAAAGCTTCCAGTCTGTTATTCTAACTCAATCAGCATGACAGAGTGATCTCCAGCCTTGTCCTCGTCAACACTCTCACCTGTGTTAACGAGAGAATCACTGACATGTCAGCTGGTCCTTTTGTGGCAGGGCTGAAATGCAGTGGAAATGTTTTTTGGGGATTAAGTTCATTTTCATGGCAAAGAGGGACTTTGCAATTAATTGCAATTCATCTGATCACTCTTCATAACATTCTGGAGTATATGCAAATTGCCATCATAAAAACTGAGGCAGCAGACTTTGTGAAAATTAAGATTTGTGTCCTTCTCAAAACTTTTGACCGTGACTATACATGCCAGCTGCAGACTGAAATAATAAGGTCTAGTGTATTGTCTTCTTCTTCACCTCGTGTAGAGGTTGAGAGTTTCTCCATTTCAAACGTGTGGACTAACGTCTCACGTTTTCTGGTCTTGTAGAAATTAAACCAATTTGCAACGTTTGGCTCACGCTTCACGTCTGCTGGTCTTCCTTTGGTAATGGAGTTGTAGTTTTAAACCATTTTGTACCGTTTAGCTCCCGCTTCCCGCTTTTTGGTCACTCGGGGTAAAAGGGGCGTTCCATCATGTTTACACGATCTCTGATGTCACTCGGGGCGTGGCTAGTCACTGTGCATAGTTTATATGAAAAACTATTATCTCATTAGAAGACTAAAATCACATTCCTATCTTCACCAAAATACTCTCATACTTAACCATATATTTTATACAACATTTAGATGTAAACTTGATAGATATAATTTGTACACTTTCCGAGTTACAGTTATTACTTGACAACATCCTTAATGACGTCACAAAATAATAAACAATATGACATGATTATTCTTTAGATCCCCACTGACCATTTCCCACATTCTTTTAAGTAGGAATATTGTTTCATTATCCACTTTTGGATGTTGGAGTCTTGGCGGGAAGACTTCCTTTGTCTCACAGGGAAATTCTTTCTTCCCACACTAGAGACAAAAAGGAGTACTTTTCTGCAAACTATTTATGATCGGCTGTTAGGTCATAAAACTGCCCCCCAGAAAAGGGGGTGTTCAAACCTTTGCCTAGCAGGAATGTTTGATCCTCAACCCATGAGGGCAAGTCATGACAACTGTCAGGGACCCAAATAAAAAACATAAAATTGGCTGTGGATTACATCAAGTTTTCTTACATGGTGGGGTCGCAAAATTTTTTTTATATCAAAATGGGATCACGGGTCAAAAAAGGTTGGGAACCTCTGTCATAAGTATTATCAGAACTTCATAGATGTATCAGGATGCTGTAGTACTAACAACATTACTACCATCTCCGATGGCTGTAGCCTACTGCAACGGAAATTCCAGCAATCAATCCATCAGTTAACAAAACAGAATCATAAATACAAAAATCAGTTTACATAAAAGCTATGATTTTATTTAGTAAAGGTGAAATATTTATAAATGAATATTGTTTGAAGAGCTCAATGAGACCCAGATACCAGGTTTACCAAATAAAGCTGGTGTTAATGAATAAATACAGGTGAATTACACAAAACAATACATTTTAAAGTAAAAAAAAAAAAAAAGAGCAAAAATATACTTTGGAATTTGATTATTATTTTTTGAATTGGAAGGTTTTTAAATTGGAAAGTTCTCTTATATCACTAATAGTGAGAAGAACAAATTTACTCCGAAAACAATACATTTACTCCTGATACGAATGAGAGAAAATCTATCATCATGTACATTTCTTGGAAAACTATTCTCACACTCTCCATCTCTCATGTGGAAGTTCACATAAATGGAGCGTTTGCTTTAGCCAACATTTGGAGCTCCTAACACGACCTCAGAGCCCTCAGTTGTTGCATATAAAATCAAAATATGTTGACTAGTCCCCGATTCACAGTCAGCTTGTAGCACATACATGAGTCATGGGAGCAGTTGCCCTTAACCACAGATAAGATTACCCAACCCAAACCCCAATCTTAACCACTAGAAGATTAAACAGTACCTTACCCTGGTGGTTAATGGCAACGTTTTCTTATGAAATCACTCTTAGGTGAACTACCCATTTCTGCCAGGTCTGGGGCCTAAATACTGTACATAAGATTCTGTAAGGGACTGACATTTCAACAAGACAGGGCACAGTCCTCGCAATAGGAAATGTAGAATCAAAGAGGACAGAAACTATCAGGTAAGGTAAGCAATGTGCTAGTGAGGATACAGCAGCCACCTTTAACCAGTCATTTATGCAGCACATCCTGTTACTGCTGGACAGGATAGGAGCACTAGAACATATAACACTACCATATATGGAAGCATTGAGGTGACGCAATGTGTGTGTGTGGGAGATGTTACTGTGTGTATGAAAGCTCAAAGCTGTACCATGACTTTAATGTGTTCCTTGTGGTGATGCCAATTAAAGCTTTCAATTGCTTTTCTAATTTGAAGAGTGCCTTTAAAATGTTGTGACATATTAGCCCCCAAAATGCATCTTTGTGTCATTTAGTGTTTCCAACCCCTATAGAGCAGTGCAACACAACAGAAGGAGAAATGAAGGTATGCTCAATCAACGTCAGTCATATACATCAATGCCTTAACTGTATCAACTGGAATTTATATTGATCATTGTAACAACATTAACACTAACCTTCATCAATAAGATAAGATTGGACCATATCAATAACACCAGTCAATATCAGCTATATTGGCAGGCTAATAACTCAGGCCAGACGGAATGTGTAGGGTCGTTTTCTAAATACCTTTACAGTGTTTCCTTTTGAATAAAATATTCACTACATGGAACAGATAGTCCCAAAAATAAATCGAAAGGAAGTTTGTTCTGAAGTGTCTGTCATATCTGTGATTTTTCATATATCTGTATTTAACCGCTTATTTTTGGTACTAAACAGTCTAAGCCCTCCCTGTCTAAGCCAGGGGAGGGGGGGTTCTACTAAGCTATATGGAATTGTTTTAAGAAGGTCATAGCAAGGATCCTTTTACTATTTGATTTTGAATTTTAAGACCCCTTGGAGTATCCAAAAAATATATATAAAAAATGTATTTGGACTTATTAGCCTATACAAATGCATTGAATAACAGATTCACTACATGGAACAACAGATAGTCCCCCCCCAAAAGGAAGCTTGTTCTGAAGTGTCTATCCTATGTCTGAGAGATATAAGAAAGATCAGGAAACATTTGTATTTAACCCCTTATTTTTGTCACTAAACAGTCTCCATATATACCCCCATAATTGTTTTGGACTGGTACCAGGGGACCTTCAGACATCCTAGAGCAAAACAACTGACATGTACGTGTTCGTGAGAGTCTCATCTTTACACATAGGGGTCATATTAGTGTGTAGCCCAAATTGTTCGGACGCTACAGACAGAAGTTGGCAGATCGGCAGTACCGACTTCAGACGAGTCCCAAGACGCTTGTGGGGGTCGTAGAGCAAAACGGAGAACACCATCGTGTTCGTGAGAGTTGCATCTTTCCATAGAGGAAAATCTAGCTTAAACTGACAGATTTAAAAATGGGGATTTCTGTCTTATGCTAATTAGATTTCCGCAGAGGGCGTGGGCATCAACCTTAGTTAATCAATGCAATTTTACATTTTATTTTGCACCTTTTCATATTTTGCAGCAGTATTTGGTTTGACTTGGTGGACTAATCCCACTGGTATGTTACATTTCAGTTGACATCAGGGGGACTAAAGGAAACTCTTTTCACTAATCTTTTCTCTGTGCTCCTCTGAATTTATCGGTACTACACCTGCGAAAGTGACTCAGCTAGCCAACGTCCTATCAAAAATATGAACTTTGATTCCATTTAAGGAACTGTTCCAAAAATAGTACTTTAAGCTTAAAAAAAATCTCTATATAATTTCTATATGCGACGTATACCTTCTATACATTTGGACAAGACGGGACAGTGAGAATTGTGTCAGGGAACTTCCCACATCCATAGAGACCACTGGTCTGCCACATGCAAGACGCGGCTGCACACTCTGCTGTTGAAGAGAGAGGAAGTTCGAAAAGTCATTCTAGAATGGCAGGCTTACAAGAAGCTACTTCAAAATTGCCACATATGCTATTTCCTCATTCTTAAATAGCATTCACATCCTCAAATTACGATAAACGTTTCACATCAACAGCATCTCGAGCTGCTCTTCTCAAGCTTGGTATACAGCGGTCAATCAAGTAACATACTTCATTATAATTCATAATTTCTTAATATACAGTAAATACAGATTTGTTTGTTGGAAACATTCATCGAGGTGCTCCTTGGCTGGCTGACAGACAGATACCAGCAAGGAGCCAAGAAGGCAGAGCAGGAAGAGATGAGAAGAGAATAGTCAGTTTGATAATTTGGTTTGTTTTTTTGGTTGTTGTCGTTGTTGTTGTGTGTTTAGTGTTTGGCCTTGTGGGTTAAAGCAGCGTTGGTGACATTTCTCAGACAGAAAGTCGCGTCAGCGTTCCAGTTTCTCCACTGTCCGTCCAGGAACAAAGGCCTACACCTCTGGCCTCCAAGGCCTTCAGTAGGAGATTATGTGGGAATGTCCTGCCATTGGAGGCGTGTGTCTTTAGTTCAGTCGTTAGCTACGCCTGATTGGCTGTGCGTGTCGCCCGGTCACAAGCCGTGTCTTATTGGCTGTTTGTGTCATCAGGTCCTGTCAGCTTGTCCAAGGTCCTCTGAGCTCCAGCGTTTTTCTCTGTGCAAAGACATCCAGGCTGCGTGTGTGTAAAAGTTTGCATGTGTGCAACTGAACTTGTGTGTTTATGTGCGTGTTTGTATTTGCACGTACTGTGTGTGTTTAAAAAGTTTGTGTGTTTCCATCTGTGTGTGTGTGCGTGTGTGTTAGATGGTGTGTGTGATGTAGAAGAGGAACTCCATGTCCATGGCTGTCTGTGGAACACTGGCCGAGCCTCCGTGGATGACGGGGATCAGAGCGCTGTCTAGCTCGTTCATATAGCGCTGGGGTAGGAGCCTGCCTCCCGAACCAGCCTGGTACTCCACCTGAGACACACATACACACACACACACAGACAGTTATAGTGATATAATACATTAAGGCAGTATGACTGGAATGTACTGTACAACGGGCATACGATCGCTAAGTTTTAGAGATGGAACAGTAACACAGACTAGTACAACAGTTTATTTATACAGCAATCAATAAAAAAAAAATATATAGATATTTTCATAAACACATTTGTCAGCAAGTGCCTGGTAAGAAGAGGGGCACTGCCCAGTCCCTTTCATAGTGTATTGCTTGACCCTTTATAGTATGTTACTTACCATGTCTGTTTGTGTGGAGACTCGGAGGGCGAGGGAGTTGATGCCGCTGGCTGAGAGGACCGAGAGGTGAGGGGTCAGAGCACTACAGCTGGCCACAGCCATCTCCCTCTGGAACACACTGCAGGACGGCAGCACCGCAGACAGGGACATGTCTGGAGTCTTCAACACGTAGAACACCTGGAGGGAGGGACAGGCAGACAGACAGACAGACAGACAGACCAGTGTAAGTGAAACAATGTTTCAGAGAGTAGTGATCATCGAGAGAAGGTGAACAGAACTCGATGTCTTTACATGTAGGTCAATTGTTATTGTAATATATTGTTGACCCCAGAAAATGAATGTCCATGCAAATGGACAATAACACTAGCGTATGGTATGAACTGTGCGTCTCCTACCTCAGTACACCTGATGGTGCGTCCGTCCAACTCAAACTCTGTGTTCTGCTGCATCCTCACACTGTGGACCCCCTCCAGAGGTTTCCCGTCCACACCACTGGTCACACTGTAAGGACACACAAAACGTACACACAAATTCATTCACCAATCATGCACCAGGGAGAAGATCAACAGTGTGTGTGTGTGTGTGTGTGTGTGTATCACCCTTACCCAGCGTTGACGGGAGCACTCCAGTTGACCCAGCGCACGGTGATGTTGTCCCGGAGCTCCCTTCCGTCGGCCTTGCCGCAGGGGATGTGGAAGTCCGTCTGCCCCCTCAGGGCGGCGCGCAGGGCCTCCATGGTCTCTGGGGGGATCTGCACCATCAGGCCGTCCTCCACGATGCTCGACTTGGCGATGAATCCCGACGAGGCCTTCAGAGCACCGTTGAATACCACGAAGCTGGCCCCCGTAACTAGACAATAAGATCACAGACTGAGTAACACAGCATGTATATAAACAGTTCAGTTCTATTCAGGTTACATGGAGGCACTGGCTCGAGTCACTGGCCTGTGACCTCTAGGATCTAAGGTCATGACACACCTGCTTCTTATCGGAGTCATATTCATTAGGCACGAAAAGGAAGAAAATGGACTGAAACAGGGAGGGACTACCTGAACTTGTCCACAACTAAACTTTTTGTGCCCTATTGAATACAACCCTGTTCTTTGAAAACAAAAAACACAGTCTCTTCTGACCTCTAGTGGGCAATCTGGTTTAGTACTGACCTGTGCGTGTCTTGCCAGGCTGGCTGTTGGCCTGGCTCTGGTAGTTGCCCTCGTCGTTCTGGAAACAGACCAGGTGGGAGTCAGCCTCAGAGCTGAAGCCAGCACCCACACTGATCACATGCTCGTTAGACGCATTCACCACCTTCAGCATCTAGAAAACACACAAAAGGTGATACTCGCATCGAAAGACAAATAACTATTTCTAACACCTACTAATGGCGAATTGGTGGGGTTTTATACGCCCACCCCCAGATTCAGGTAGTGAATTTATAATCCAAAGCAAATGGCATATAGCAACCTGGCTTAGTATATTAGCATAACCTAGCCTTAGCATAACCATGCTAGTTAGCACTAATGTTACTGGTCCTGAAGTTTGCGGACAACTAATAGTCAGTCTCCTTCATGCCGATGAAACTGCCCATGACCCTGTCGTTGATGATTGTGTACATTTGGTGTGACAGTGAATTCTTACAATTGAATGTGACAAAAACCAAATATATGTTTTGTATGAATTTCAGGTGTCAACCCCCTACCCCTCAGAACACTATCATCAAGGGCCAGGTGGTAGACACTGTAGACAACTACAAGTATCTTGGCACAATGATTGATAATAAATTGAACTTTGAGTAACACTGACATGTTGTGTAAGAAAGGCCAGCAATGCCTTTTTTGTCAGGAAACTGGCAAAGTTCCAGGTAGACAGGACCTTGATGACTGACTCTCTTTTATAAGTCGTACATAGAGTTTGTCTTAAAATTGTATTTTATTTGCTGGTACTGCAACCTTGGTGTAAAAGCTAAAAATACACTAACTAGAATAGTGAAAGTGGGCAGTATGATCACAGGAGTCCAGCAGACAAGTACAACAGACAAGAGGTGAGGAAGGCAGAATCCATCCTGTCTGGCAGAATCCATCCTGTCTGACAGAATCCATCCTGTCTGACTGTGCCCACCCTCTACACCACCAGTTCAAGGTCCTACTCTCTGGCTCCCGGTTTAGATTTACCCACTGTTAAGACGAACAGGTACAAGCACTCCTTCACCCCAATGGCCATTGCCCTTTTGAATACAGGGAAGAGGAGTTGATAGGCTTGGGATGAGGATGATGTTGACGATGGTAATGTTGTTGATGATTAAGGTGATGTTGATGTTTTCGTCAGCACATTGTTGATATGTTGTTGACGAGATGAACTAAGAATGCACACAGCACTTTACTTATTAGGCAACTTTGGCTTGCTATACTTTTGTGCTGCTGCTAATGTCGATCACAGGCCTACTGCATACAGTGCCTTCAGAAAGTATTCACACCCATTCACTTTTCCACATTTTGTTGTTTTACAGCCTGAATTTAAAATTGATTACATTGAGATTTTTTTGTCACTGGCCTACACACAATAATGTGAAAGTGGAATTATGTTTTTCGATTTATTTTTTAATTAATTAAAAATGAAAGCTGAAATGTCTTGAGTCAATAAGTATTCAACCCCTTTGTTATGGCAAGCCTAAATAAGATCGGGTGTAACAATTTGCTGAACAAGTCACATAATAAGTTGCATGGACTCACTCCGTGTGCAATAATAGAGTTTAACATGATTTTTGAACGACTACCTCTTCTCTGTACCCCACACATACAATTATCTGTAAGGTCCCTCAGTCGAGCGGTGAATTTCAAACACAGATTCAACCACAAAGACCAGGGACGTTTTTTAATGCCTCGCAAAGAATGGCACCTATTATTTAAAAATAAAAAAGCAGACATTGAATATCCCTTTGAGCATGGTGAAGCTATTAAACTTAGGATGGTGTATCAATACACCCAGTCACTACAAGGATACAGGCATCCAGGCAACTCAGTTGCTGGAGAGGAAGGAAACCACTCAGGGATTTCACCATGAGGCCAATGGTGACTTTAAAACAGTTACAGAGTTTAATGGCTGTGATAGGAGAGAACTGAGGATGGATCAACAACATTGTAGTTACTCCACAACACTAACCTAATTGACAGAGTGAAAAGGAAGCCTGTACAGGATAAAACAATATTCCAAAACATGCATCCTGTTTGCAACAAGGCACAAAAGTAATACTGTAAAAGATGTGGCAAAAGAAAAGAGTGTCCTGAATGTAATGTTGGGGGCAAATCCAATACAACACATTACTGAGTACCACGCTCCATATTTTCAAGCATAGTGGTGGCTGCATCATGTTATGGGTATGCTCGTACCTTTCAGCAGGACAATAACCTAAAATACAAGGGCAAATCTACACTGGAGTTGCTTACCAAGAAGACCGTGAATGTTCCTGAGTTTCCGAGTTACAGTTTTTACTTAAATATGCTTGAAAGTCTATGGCAACACCTGAAAATGGTTGTCTAGCAATGATCAACAACCAATTTGACAGTGCTTGAAGAATTTTGAAAAGAATAATGGGCAAATGTTGCACAATCCAGGTGTGGAAAGCGCTTAAGAGACTTACCCATAAAGACGCACAGCTGTAAACACTGCCAAAGGTGCTTCTACAAAGTATTGACTCAGGGGTGTAAGTACTTATGTAAATGAGATATTTCAGTATTTCCTTTTCCAAAAATGTGCAAAAATTTCCAAAAATAGGTTTTCATTTTGTCATTATGAGGCATTGTGTGTTGATGGGTGAGAAAAATAAAATCATTTAATCCATTTTGAATTCAGGCTGTAACAACAAAATGTGGAATAAATCAAGGGGTATGAATACTTTCTGAATGCACTGTATATTTGTATTGATGGCTGTCAGCCCTATGACTTGATGTACTAGCTCATTGTATTCACTGTGTGTCATTGTGATCCATGTGGATTTTATATGTTCAACGTTGTTTTTTATGCTCATTTGCGGCAAAACCAATTGCCCTCTGGGACAATAAAGTTGAAACTTGAACTTGTCCTTCGAGCCAAATAGAAACAGATTGTCCTGGAACATGACCAGTAGGTACAGATAGACAAATACCATCAAAAACTCAAAAGTCCTGTAATGCTGTGTGTCTTACCTCAGTAAAGCTACTCTTGGGAATGTCTATGTAGCTGTGGCCCATCTCCATGTGGATCCTCAGGCCCTCCACGGCAGGCAGACTGTACTGGTAGTTCCTCAGGTCCTGGAGACAAAAACATAACACAGAACACACACATAGTGTGTGACCTACTACATTCTCTCATTGACATATGACATGCCTCATAGACAATCCTTTTTGCAAAGACTAACACACACAGTATCTTAGAGGTTTCAGAGCTGTAACAGACAGTGTATGATAACCCAGTCAGACCTGCCCTCAAAGGCTCCTCTCTCCCAGCAGTGAACAGCTGGCAGGGAACCAAACTACTGCAGTGTCTCTCCCACAGGAGTCCTGATCTAGCTCTGTGTGTGTCATCTCAGTCCTCTGTCGGCTGGCCCTCAGCTGAACTCAGCAGCACTGCACAGCATATGCTGGCTCAGTGATCATCACAGAGGATCAGGGAGATATCTCTTAACTCTGCTTTAAATCAGGGCTGGAGACCTACTTTTACTGCTTTGCTTCGGTTTGATGTGAATTGTTATATTCAAAGTTTTGATTGATCAAATTGTAAAAATAAAAAAATACTCTGAAATTTACAACAAAATAATTTGTGTGTGTTTGTACTTACAGCCAGCAGGTTCATGATGGTGTGTCCTGTCTCTCTGAACACAGTCTCTCTGAAGCGGACGCTAACCAGCGTGCTGGGGTACACTGCAACACAATACACATAGGGTCAAATGTCACTAGAATCAGGCTCGACATCCGTCTAAACACTTGTTGTAATCATTTCATTATTATTTCATAATGTCATTACTGTAAACTACGGCCATGTTTGTAAAGTAGAGTCAAAGTAGAAGTGATCTCAATAGCCTACAGGCTAAAGCACATATCTAGGTCTTGGCCGAGTTCAAAAGTTTGAAACGGCTATCAGAAAAACTGATTTAAAAGGGTAGGAAGTATGAGATTTACTCAAAGTAACAACACAGTGTTGTCAAAGGCTTAGTAACTTAGTTGAGGTCACGATCTGATTACCTACAAACATAGTTATGTTTTGGGTTTTTTACATATTTATTAACTTATTTCCAGATATCTTCTAAACTACCCACAATATACAATTTCTCAACGTCATATTGAGAATCTACTCTGCCTTAGCTAGCTCGAGCTGGCTAACGTTAGCCACTAGCCATGCAGACCGAATGTTGGCAGTGGTGAGCTACAATCCACCAATCACGAGGAGGTGTGATGTAAACAAGCAATCAGATTCCCCACAAGTGGGGGCCGAATGATCTCCGTGAAGTAGGCTACCAGAGTTTTTCAACCTGGGCTTAGTACTAGCACGCTACAGTAGCTGACTGACTGTCCTGTTGTGATCATTTCCATCTGCCTGGAGCCTTCCTCCGATCGCCGTCTTATTGTTGACTCTTCCCCTCGTCTCCTGTGCCCAACGCCACCTCTGGATGATTGACTCTGGAATCTATCTACTTTGGATTTACCTCACTATATCGCTATTGGATTAGCTGACTCTCCCTCGGCCGGTGAAACGGCCTCTCCCTCTGAAGCGCCTCTCTCCTCGGCTCTTCTTTGGTAGCTAACTCAGCCGTCAATCGGTAAGTCTCCGCTCTCTCTACTTTAGATAACTACATATATTGGTAACATTATTAGATGGTTAGATGGCACTATGTATTTCCAAAACTTTGGTTTACTTTAATGTAGCTGTAAGCTTGGTGTTGATAGCAACTGGCTGACTCATGCAGTGCTAACGTAACATTAGCAGGCTGGTAGGGCTAATGTTAGCAGGCTACTTGGCTAGCAACCTTGCAAGCTGATTTGTAACAATAAATTCATAGAGTATTTGCTCGTACATTGGTTGGAAATTACATTGAAACCAGTAGTCATGAGTGTAAATGATTTGGTTTAATTTGAAGTTATACATTTGAAGTTATTTCTGTTGGAGATTACATTATAGGGCACAGGCTGGCTTGCCGGGTCCTCCATATAACGTCACACCCTGCAAAAACATTTTCCGGCATGACTTCATTCTGATTGGTTTTACAGTGCCTTGCAAAAGTATTCATCCTCCTTGGCGTTTTTCCTATTTTGTTGCATTACAACCTGTAATTTAAAATATATTTTTATTTGGATTTCATGTAATGAACATACACAAAATAGTCCAAATTGGTGAAGTGAAATGAAAAAAATAACTTGTTTCAAAAATTCTAAAAAATAAATAACGGAAAAGTGGTGCGTGCATATGTATTCCCACCCTTTGCTATGAAGCCCCTAAATAATTACCTTCAGAAGTCACATAATTAGTTAAATAAAGTCCACCTGTGTGCAATCTAAGTGTCACATGATCTCAGTATATATATATACACCTGTTCTGAAAGGCCCCAGAGTCTGCAACACCACTAAGCAAGGGGCACCACCAAGCAAGCAGCACCATGAAGACCAAGGAGCTCTCCAAACAGGTCAGGGACAAAGTTATGGAGAAGTACAGATCAGGGTTGGGTTATAAAAAAAATATCTGAAACTTTGAAAATCCCACGGAGCACCATTAAATCCAATATAAAAAAATTGAAAGAATATGGCACCACAACAAACCTGCCAAGACAGGGCCGCCCACCAAAACTCAAGGACCAGACAAGGAGGGCATTAATCAGAGAGGCAACAAAGAAACCAAAGATAACTCTGAAGGAGCTGCAAAGCTCCACAGCAGAGATTGGAGTATCTGTCCATAGGACCACTTTAAGCCGTACACTCCACAGAGCTGGGCTTTACGGAAGAGTGGCCAGAAAAAAATGCCATTGCTTAAAGAAAAAAATAAGCAAACACGTTTGGTGTTTGCCAAAAGGCATGTGGGAAACTCCCCAAACATATGGAAGAAGGTACTCTGGTACCTTTTTGGCCATCAAGGAAATTGCTATGTCTGGCGCAAACCCAACACCTCTCATCACCCCGAGAACACCATCCCCACAGTGAAGCATGGTGGTAACAGCATCATGCTGTGGGGATGTTTTTCCATCGGCAGGGACTAGGAAACTGGTCAGAATTGAAGGAAAGATGGATGGCGCTAAATACAGGGAAATTCTTGAGGGAACCCTGTTTCAGTCTTCCAGAGATTTGAGACTGGGACGGAGGTTCACCTTCCAGCAGGACAATGACCCTAAACATACTGCTAAAGCAACACTCGGGTGGTTTAAGGGGAAACATTGAAATGTCTTGGAACGGCCTAGTCAAAGCCCCGACTTAAATCCAATTGAAAATCTGTGGTATGACTTAAAGATCGCTGTACACCAGCGGAACCCATCCAACTTGAAGGAGCTGGAGCAGTTTTGCCTTGAAGAATGGGCAAAAATCCCAGTGGCTAGATGTGACAAGCTTATAGAGACATACCCCAAGAGACTTGCAGCTGTAATTGCTGCAAAAGGTGGCTCTACAAAGTATTGACATTGGGGGGTGAATAGTTATGCACGCTCAAGTTCTGTTTTTTTGTCTTATTTCTTGTTTGTTTCACAATAAAACATATTTTGCATCTTCAAGGTGGTAGGCATGTTGTATAAATCAAATGATACAAACCAAAAAAAAATCAATTTAAATTCCAGGTTGTAAGGCAACAAAATAGGAAGAATGCCAAGGGGGGTGAATACTTTCACAAGCCACTGTATGTAATAACTGGAAAAATAGAAAAGTGGTGTAATTTTGCACTGGGACTTTTGATGTGGATATTAATGAAAATCCATATGTTAAGTTTATGCTACCTACCCTTTAGCTTTGAAAACCAGTCAAAGTGTAAATCCTTCTGAAACTATTTACCATGCATTTATTACCACTGAACCCAGACAAGGCTAGTAACTGTTGGGGGCTCACCACCGTGTTCTGCTCCCAGCCGTAGCAGCAGCCTAAGGGGGAAGACCTTGGCCCAGGGCACCTCCAGCCTCTGGATGAGCAGGCCACAGAGGAAGGGCTGTGGAGGCAGACAGAGGCCCTCCAGGGGCTGAAAGGTAGGGGAGAAGAACAGCACCCCGCCGTGCTCCTTACTACCCAGGAAACTACCTGTGAACGCCACGTTGCCCAGCTCCTCCACAAACTTTCCTGAGGAGGGAGAGACAGAGGTCAGTGTGTGCAGAGTACCACTTCAGCGCGGCGGCAGCACCCCCAGCCCCCACGACGGCACGTGTGCAACACCCACACGGCTCAAATCATAGGCATATGCACAGTTTTTTGCCTAATAACGATGTTGTCAGAAGACCGCCTCAGTAGGAATGGTAGGCTATAGACTGTTCTGGGTACTTAAATTGGTTGCTTTTCAGTAGATAACTAGAAATACGTTTAAAATGTACAGTACCAGTCAAAAGTTTGGACACACCTACTCATTCAAGGGTTTTTCTTTATTTTTACTATTTTCTAAATTGTATAACATATGGAATCAAGTAGTAAGTGTTAAATCAAAATATTTTTCATATTTGAAATTCTTCAAATAGCCACCCTATTTTCTCAAATAGCCACAGCTTTGCACACTCTTGGCATTCTCTCAACCAGCTTCACCTGGAATGCTTTTCCAACAGTCTCGGGGGATTGTGGAGGCCAGGTCATCTGATGCAGCACTCCATCACTCTCCTTCTTGGTCAAATAGCCCTTACACAGCCTGGAGGTGTGTTAGGTCATTGTCCTGTTGAAAAACAAATTATAGTCCTACTAAGCCCAAACCAGATGGGATGGCGTATCGCTGCAGAATGCTGTGGTAGCCATGCTGGTTAAGTGTGCATTGAATTCTAAATAAATCACAGACAGTGTCACCAGCAAAGCACCTCCACAACATAACACCTCCTCCTCCATGCTTTACGGTGGGAACTACACATGCAGAGATCATCCATTCATCCACCCCGTGTCTCACAAAGACATGGCAGTTGGAACTAAAAATCTCAAATTTGGACTCCAGACCAAAGGACAAATTTCCACCGGTCTAATGTCCATTGCTTGTGTTTCTTGGCCCAACCAGGTCTCTTCTTCTTATTGGTGTCCTTTAGTAGTGATTTCTTTGCAGCAATTCAACCATGAAGTCCTGATTCACACAGTCCCCTCTGAACAGTTGATGTTGAGAAGTGTCTGTGACTTGAACTCTGTGAAGCATTTATTTGGGCTGCAATTTCTGAGGCTGGTAACTCTAATGAACTTATCCTCTGCAGCAGAGGTAACTTTGGGTCTTCCATTCCTGTGGCGGTCCTCATGAGAGCCAGTTTCATTATAGCGCTTGATGGTTTTTGCGACTTCAAATGTTCCGTATTGACTGACCTTCATGTCTTAAAAGTAATGATGGTCTGTCGTTTCTCTTTGCTTATTTGAGCTGTTCTTGCCATAATATGGACCAAATAGGGCTATTTTCTGTATACCCCTCCTACCTTGTCACAACACAACTGATTGGCTCATATGGATAAGAGCGTCTGCTAAATGACTAAAATGTAAATGTAAGAAGGCACACCTGTTAATTGAAATGCATTCCAGGTGACTACCTCATGAAGCTGGTTGAGAGAATGCCAAGAATGTGCAAAGCTGTCATCAAGGCAAAGGGTGGCTATTTAAAGAACCTCAAATATAAACACTTTTTTGGTTACTACATGATTCAATATGTGTTATTTAATAGTTTTGATGTCTTCACTATTATTCTACAATGTAAACAATAGTAGAAATAAAGAAAAACCCTTCAATGAGTAGGTGTGTCCAAACTTTTGACTGGTAGTGTACAATCAGGATTTTCTGACCAGGTGGTGTTGATGTAGGCCTTAGTTGGGTAGGGGGGAGGTACCAAGGGGGTCAGTCAACTTCCACCATCAGGAAGCTGGAGCATTTTGTATTTTTGAAGAACCTGTAACTGCCATTTCCTGAAACCTAGGGCTGTATTTTTGGCTGGAGTTAAGGCTGCGCTAGTGTCAAAAGCAAGTTAGTTTGCAATTTCGTTATGTAAAAACTGGCACTGCCATTTTCCAGCCCTAATGGCAGGTTCGGCAATTTACCTGTCTTATATCAACTCGCTTGCGCTCAGATGGGCGGGGTGGAATTATTTTAGGCGTGTCCTTAAAAACACGATCCAAAGTGCTAATTTCAATCAGCGCTGATAGGAATATTTAAGACCAACCAAAAGCTGGTTTTAGCGATAACGCAGTTAGTTATGGCATGATTTTTGACAGCCAAAACGCAGCCTATCCAGCCGTGACGCCCACTGCCCATATGCGCATGGAACAAGAGTAGCCTAATATTTAGAAACCTAAAAAAACATTCCCATAGCGTTTTATTTGATTAAAAACCAAGCATAGCCTCACCTCCTCTCAATGAAGCCTTTTTTTTTGTCTGCCAATGCAATCGCAAAGTAGTCGAGACTGTCGATAAAGGGTTTGGCTCCTGAGACCACTTGGAAATAAATCGTAAAATCACCAAAGCTTTATTAAAATATCACGTTTGAGAGGAGTAAAACAGTGAGCTGACGTTCCCTTTTTATCTATATATTGTAGGCAGGCCCACATTATTTTAGCCATGCAGGTCCTGTTTTGTGGACTGCAAATGGGTTCAAGTTAACATATTTAGCAAAGATAGGTCTACATTTTGTTATTTCATTTCTGTAAGCCCTTTAACGAACTAAAATTGGAATTGGAGTTGATTCCAAGGCACTACATAAAAGATCGTAAATACACAACTTGAAGCAACCATATTATTTTGCCATGGAGCACGTTCTGATTGGCCAGTGAGGGGCCAAGCCTTGACACACCCACAACTTGTTTATTCATCAAAACCCAGCCCTTTCGCGCCAACGCCAGCAAGTGCGGGGATAACTGTGATAGTGAAAATAGCCAAAATATTTCTGACACACCCCTGAACCTATAGCGCTACCGCCTGCGCTTAGATTTACCATTTCGTTAGGTTTGTTAAAATAGAGCCCCTTGAGTCTTAAATGATTACAAACAATGTAGCCAACACAGAAGTCTTCTGTGTGATCCTAAAGGATATTGGAGGTGGCCTCAATGACACTTTCACATTTTTCTAGGTTAACTTGAGGGGTAATGTAGCCCAATAATGGACTAAAGGAGCCTAATGTTACTCCTTATAGTCCAAGGACGTTACATGTTCTGTTAAGAGGCAAATTGGCTCTGGAAACCAAAACAGCCAAATACTCCATCTAAACGTGAATCTATTCTCAATTGCGGTACAGTTCTAGAAACATACAGCCCTCTACTTTCATATCACATCAAAAATAATTTGGGGGCTGGCCTGGAGCAGAGCGCTAGAGATTTTTTCTCCTCAGCCAAGTCCTCTGATTGGCTCAGCTCCAATTTCAGATGGCTGAGTCAAAAACCACAATGTGCCAACTAGAAGCCTATTTTAGGGTCATTTTTCGTACCAGCGTACTTTGACCTCAAATTGCATGAATGGTACGCAAAATGCTTGCAGGTTGGCAGGTCTGTGTGTGTGTGTGTGTTTTTTTTCCGCCTACCTCTGTGAGTCCTGGTAGATGGAGAGGTACAGGATGTGTGTGTGTGTGTGTGTGTGCGTCTACCTCTCTGTGCGTCCTGGTAGATGGAGAGGTACAGTGTGAACAGGTCTTTGGGCAGAGATCGCTCCTCAGGCAGACACTCCAGGATGAACACTATCTCCCTCTGCCCTACAGTCTGTAGACCACTGGAGCCCAAACACCAGCACTTCCTACTGCAGTCTACAGGAGAGTAGAGACACACACAGTGAGGAAACACATTCTTTTGGGACTGGGACTAGGAATAAGGAGGTTTGAATTTGATCTCTTTTTCACCTTCCCATCATCTGAACTGAAGTGGACAGGGAATGTTCCCAGTAGGCATCCACCATATTGCTTTCACCAGTCCCATCTTTTCAGATCAGTCCAGATGAAGGAACGGAGAGGTGAGGAAGCCATTTTACAGGAGGGTAGAGATGGGTGTTCTACTCACAGGTGACCAGTTTGACGTTGACCAGCAGGTTGGCGTTGAGGACAAAGGTTAAAGGTCGCGGGCCTCCCTCCTCCAACAGGAGCAGGATCTGGCAGGGGGCTGGGCGCTCCTCCACCAATAGATCTCCTCCCCCCTCTTCCTCTCCGGTGGTGATGAGTAGAGGTGGCAGGCCCTCATCATCCTCAGGCAGCAGACTGGGGCTCCTCTCTACGCAGCTCCCTAGCCCACACAGCAGGCTGTAGTCCCAGGGCCCCGACACTGTGGGGCCCACCACCTCCAACTCTGCTGGGACCACAGGGGCCGAAACACCACCCTCAGACACCGCTGCTGAGCCAGGGGATACTCTGCTGCCAGCCTGGAGGAGACCGATGGATGAGAAATGGATGGGATAAAAGAGAGATGATTTACCATGTCTGTGTGTGTATATGTGGTCTCACTATGTGTGGTTGTGTGTGCAGTCTGTATGTGTGTGTATCTTGCCATGTATGTATATGTATATGTATACAGTGCCTCTTACCGTGGGTGTGTGTCCCTCACATTGTGTGTGTGTCTATATATGTGTGTATATAGCTCCTCCTCTTACCGTAGGGGGGTCTGGTGTGACAGGGCTGGACTCCTGGGAACTCCTCCTGCCGGTCACAGATAGCCTGGTGGTGTCGGCCACCTCGCCGTTGGGCAAGATGCCATCTGCAAACCACACACGCTTCTGCTCACGAGGACAACCTGACACATCCACCACACAGGGACAGGGACTTCTGTCATTTTCCCCATTTCCCAATTTAAAGTGTTGTTTAGAGCGCTAAATTAATACCAGTGTTTCCCTATTTAAATTTAGCCTCCGCTGCTAAATCGTTGGGCCACTTCCCAAAAATATGATAAAAAATATATATAATACACATTTTGGGGGAAATCATTTTAGGGATTGTAAAACGTTTTCAGTGTTAACTTAAACCTAATTTAAAGTATGTAGAAAAGATAACGGAGCTATATTTTTTAAATAAGATCTTTGAAAACTAACAACCACCAAAATAAAAACTTGAGTCAGGGAGAATCTAAAATTCCCATTGATTTTGTTATAATGTTTGAGTCACTCAGATAGCATAAGACGGCGGCATAAGCCATGGCAAAATGTGTAGAATTGCAGGAAATTCGCTTTAAAACTGCAACCCCCCTCCCTTACCAAACACACTAACTTTACCGCCACTGCTGAAAAAAAGCCTAGGGGAAACACTGAATACAAATGAGAATCAAGGGAAATGGATATGGTAAAAAAGAAAATCACAATCTTTCATTATAGCCAAACTGGCTGGCTAAGCTATCCAATGGAGAGCAACCAGATGTTTATCGCTTTTGGGACCACCATTATACAACAGCAACCCTTGATACGAGTTCAAGGGGTGCATAAGTACCGTCGCTGTAGGGGGTTTTGAGCACGGAGACGGGCACCATGACGGTGGGCGGGGGGGAGTTGAGGGTGCCTGCAGCCCGGGCCTGCTGTAGGGGGGGGATTGGTGCTGCAGTACTCTGACGGGACGTTGGGGTTGGGGCTCGGACCTGTCGGACTCATCATACGCTCCAGCGCCTGGGCTAGAGGGGGGGGGAGGCAGGGAGAGAGAGAGAGAGAGAGTTAGAGGAAGAGGTGCGGCAGCTAAAGAGTAACTCAGTGAGAGGGGGAGAGTTGGCATATTAACATCGGTATTTTACAAAATGTTCCATCCCGAGAATAAATCACTTTTCTCCCAGGTAACCCGATTTTTCTTTAAAGTGTCATTTTTAACCAATAAGGCCTGAGCGGGTGTGGTATATGGCCAATATACCACAGCTAAGGGCTGTTCTTATGTACGACGCAACGCGGAGTGCCTGGAAACAGACCTTAGCCGTGGTATATTGGCCATATAGCACAAACCCCCGAGGTGCCTTACTGCTAATATAAACTGGTTACCAATGTAATTAGAGCAGTAAAAATAAATGTTTTGTCATACCCGTGGTATACGGTCTGATATACCATGGCTTTCAGCCAATCAGCATTAGGGCTCGACCCACCCAGTTTATAATAAAGCATATAAAACCATTGGACAGAATAATGTGCCTTTCTAAGGTGTATTATACATAACATTTAATATATTCTTATTGCATTCATTATCATTCGTTGGCATAAACATATAATAATAATTCTAAAGCAATATAAAGTCATTGATCATCTCACAAGGTCTTGTTTTAAAATGTGTATTTGTGTTGTAGGGGTTTGAAATAGCCTGAATAACCGAGGCAAAAATATAACAGGTTCAAATGAACAAACCACTCTATTTAGGGTACATCTAGGCCTTATTTGTTAACGTAGGCATAGGCTATTCATAGGAATGTTATGATAGTTAAATAAATAAAATCAACAGCTGACATACAGTAGGACAAGAATAAATCTGGCTTTTCACAAAATAAAATGTTGGCCTACATCGTATTCAAATATACCCACATCATAATATAAATGAAACGTGAGCCTTCTGGCTACATAAATCTGACCAGTGACCACGGGAGAGGTTGTGTTTTCTCTAGCAGGAGGTAAGCTTGGCTTCTTATATGGTGTTGAGTAAAGCTTAAACCATGTATTTAGATCGTAGGTAGGTAGTTGTAGTTAGGTATTGTAGGTATTTTATTTAGGTAGTTATTTAGGTAGTTATTGTAGGTTTCCGTAGGTAATTATTGTAGGTAAGTATTGTTTACGGCGGAGCCCGGCGAAGCACGAGGCTAGCTAGCTAGCGGGTAGCTACTGGTAACGTTTAGCAACGGTGGAGAGTTGTTTCCAATGTTATTTCACGCTTAAGAGTACCTGTAATTATTAATTTTTGCTGCGTTATGAAAGGAACTAGACACGGACACAAATTATCTGTTTAGTGTGTTAACACACTATTGGTAGTTTGTTGTAACCAAGTATTGGTGCTAAACTGTGTGTTATTGGATGCTAGCATGCTAGTTAGCTATGGCGTCATAGTTAGGCATCGTGGGCTGTTGTGGGTAGTTATTGTAGGTTAGCATTGTTTTCGGCGGTGCCGGGTGTAGCACGAAGCTAGCTAGCTAGCCGTTTTTCAAACAAAGTCAACACAGTAGCCATTGCTAGCTAGCCAACACGACCAGCTAACTGTACTGTAGTAGCTAAATACAATATACTTGTGCTAGCTAGCCAACGTTTAATTATTGCTGCGTTATGAAAGGAACTAGACACGGACACGAATTATCTGTTTAGTGTGTTAACACACTATTGGTAGTTTGTTGTAACCAAGTATTGGTGCTAAACTGTGTGTTATTGGATGCTAGCATGCTAGTTAGCTATGGTGTCATAGTTAGGCATAATATAATATAATATAATATGCCATTTAGCAGACGCTTTTATCCAAAGCGACTTACAGTCATGCGTGCATACATTTTTGTGTATGGGTGGTCCCGGGGATCGAACCCACTACCTTGGCGTTACAAGCGCCGTGCTCTACCAGCTGAGCTACAGAGGACCACCCATACATCGTGGGCTGTTGTGGGGTTGTGGGTAGTTATTGTAGGTTAGCATTGTTTTCGGCGGTGCCGGGTGTAGCACGAAGCTAGCTAGCTAGCCGTTTTTCGAACAGAGTCAACACAGTAGCCATTGTGTGCTGTACTGTGGCAGCTAAATACAATATATTTGTGCTAGCTAGCCAACGTTTAATTATTGCTGCGTTATGAAAGGAACTAGACACGGACACAAATTATCTGTTTAGTGTGTTAACACACTATTGGTGGTTTGTTGTGACCAAGTGTTGGTGCTAAACTGTGTGTTATTGGATGCTAGCATGCTAGTTAGCTATGGTGTCATAGTTAGCTAGCTGAATAAAGTGGGTTGAGTCTATTCCTTGAAACATTGAACCGCTGTGGTTCACAACAATTCTGATTTCTATAGGTGGAAGTTGGGAGAGTTTTTTTTCGGGTGGTTCAGTGAAACAATTATAGTTTCTGAGGTGGAAGTTTTGGTGAGGGAGGCCCTGCTCTCTCCTCTCCCAGATGTTTAGTTCATTTCATTCCGATCTCCTCTGCATTATTGTAGCCATTTGCTACAGCCTGTCAACTATGCCTCTGCCTATCCCTGTTCTCTCCTCTCTGCACAGGCTACACAAACGCCTCACACCGCGTGGCTGCTGCCTCTCTAACCTGGTGGTCCCTGCACGCACCCCACACCTGGAGTTCCAGGTCTCAGGCAGCCTCTGGAACTGCCGTTCTGCTGCCAACAAAGCTGACTTCATCCCAGCCTATGCTAACCTCCAGTCCCTCGACTTCCTGGCGCTGACGGAAACATGGATTACCACTGAAAACACTGCTACTCCTACTGCTCTCTCCTCGTCTGACCATGTGTTCTCGCATACCCCGAGAGCATCTGGTCAGAGGGGTGGTGGCACAGGAATCCTCATCTCTCCCAAGTGGACATTCTCAATTTTTCCCCTAACCCATCTGTCTATCTCCTCATTTGAATTCCATGCTGTCACAGTCACTAGCCCATTTAAGCTTAATATCCTTGTCATCTATCGCCCTCCAGGTTCCCTTGGAGAGTTCATCAATGAGCTTGACGCCTTGATAAGTTCCTTTCCTGAGGATGGCTCACCCCTCACAGTTTTGGGGGATTTCAACCTCCCTACGTCCACATTTGACTCATTTCTCTCTGCCTCCTTCTTTCCACTCCTCTCCTCTTTTGACCTCACCCTCTCACCGTCCCCCCCTACTCACAAGGCAGGCAATACGCTTGACCTCATCTTTACTAGATGCTGCTCTTCTACTAATCTCACTGCAACTCCCCTCCATGTCTCCGACCACTACTTTGTTTCCTTTTCTCTCACGCTCTCCTCCAACACTACTCACTCTGCCCCTACACAGATGGTAATGCGCCGCCGCAACCTTCGCTCTCTCTCTCCCACTACTCTCTCCTCTTCCATCCTATCATCTCTTCCCTCTGCTCAATCCTTCTCCCTCCAATCTCCTGATTCTGCCTCCTCAACCCTCCTCTCCTCCCTTTCTGCATCCTTTGACTCTCTGTGTCCCCTATCCTCCTGGCTGGCTCGGTCCTCCCCTCCAGCTCCGTGGCTTGATGACTCATTGCGAGCTCACAGAACAGAGCTCCGGGCAGCGGAGCGGAAATGGAAGAAAACTAAACTCCCTGCCGACCTGGCATCTTTTCACTCCCTCCTCTCTACATTTTCTTCATCTGTTTCTGCTGCTAAGGCCACTTTCTACCACTCTAAATTCCAAGCATCTGCCTCTAACCCT